GTAGTAGTAGTAAATAATAATAATATAGTATAGTATAGTATATATATATATATATATATATATATATATATATATATATATATAGTGTACTGTCCACGTGGATAAACATAACTATTTGGATGCGATATTTGTGTCGACGAGCGATGATTCACACGACGGCACAGGTGCACAGACGAAAATGCTTAAGTCAACGGTAACGACGTACGAGTATGTATATATAGAAACAATGTATATATATATATATATATATATATAAAAGGTGTTCGTATGACTAGATATCTGTAGCACGTACTCGGACACATGTACATGCCCATCACTACACAAGACTCATACAGTATCACGCAAACAACAGACTGAATCAATGAACAGTCCATCACAGTCAAACACACACCTGAATTAGATTGGGCACCAAATTTAGAATAATCTGTTGATCCTCGTGCAATTCCGCGGGCAAATCGGTGATGCGGAACATGTGTGCCGTAAGCAGCGCCCGAGCCTTGATGCAGTAAGGCGCGTCGAAAACCTGGTTTTCACTGAAACGGGCCATGAGATCGTTCGCTTGGCCCTCTAACTTGGTCTCGCCAATGAGCTTGATAAGAGCAGCAACCTGCTCTTTGTCCGTGTCACGCTGAGGTACTTCGTCCTGGAACTCAACGGCCGCTGTGTGCAACAAAGGGGGGAGGAGTGTGGAGAGGTGTTTGTGGGTGTCTAGTGTATGGGTCGATGAGCAAGGCTTGGTTATAATACCCGTGTGTACACATGCATAGACATACACCTACACACTTAGCAACATGCATTATTCTGATATGCACATGCGCCGGACGACTATGAGAACACGTGAAGAAATGGCAAACAACCATCGGCGCATGTACGTACAGAGAACCTACACATTGTTCATAGACAACAACTGCAGATCAGACATGCCACGATTAGCAGTCCATGTGCAAGGCAAAGGTCAACGTAGTAGCAATAGTGTCCCAGCCAACGTACGTGCGTAAGTGGACACATATGGATCGAACATCTCCATTCCTGCCCTTGTTGCAGATCTTTATGGTCTCTGTATTCTGATGCCAGGCGTGGTGGCAGCCGGGCGTCCCAAAATTTGACTCATACATGAGATACTAGAATTGCGCCCCATGCACCTGCAACATAGAGTTACACATCCACGATGGGAATTGACGTTCACATGTACCCGTACACATACATCCATATATACCTGTCACTACGTCTACGATCTGCGCCGTAGTCATCTGGGGTCTGAGGAACTGGTAGTACAGATTGATGGTCTGTCGGAGGATGCGATCACGAGTGTATCGCTTGGAATTCCACCACCACTGGGCTACCACAACCGGCATGAACACCATGATACCTGTGGTATATATGACATAGGGTGATATGTAGATGAGCTATGCAAGCTGAACATGGGTATATAAATGATACCTATGAGAAAAAAAACTACCGGCATGAACACCATGATACCTGTGGTATATATGACATAGGGTGATATGTAGATGAGCCATGCAAGCTGAACATGGGTATATAAATGATACCTATGAGAAATAAAACTACCGGCATGAACACCATGATACCTGTGGTATATATGACATAGGGTGATATGCAGATGAGCTATGTAAGCTGAACATGAGTATATAAATGATACCCAAAATAAAACTACCGGCATGAACACCATAATACCTGTGGTATATATGACATAGGGTGATACACAGATGAGCTATGTAAGCTGAACATGGGTATATAAATGATACCAAAAAAAGAACTACCGGCATGAACACTATGATACCTATGGTATATATGACATAGGGTGATATACAGATGAGCTATGTAAGCTGAACATGGGTATATAAATGATATCAAAAATATTGTCCCTTGAAGCCCATGACCGGGACATGATGTATTGTGCTGTAAAAGGTGAGAGACAGTTGTCTACGTGCATATGACTTTGTGGCATGGAGTGCATTTAAGTAAATGCCTACATGTCTCTGGTAGAGCGGACCCCCTTATACAAATGTATAGTACATTGCCGTCCAAATTTGAAATCTTGAAGTATGGGTGAGAATCCTATATAAACGCAGGTGAAACCACGAATGCAAAAGTCAACACGCACTTGCAGCAGGCGGATAGAATGGGGATGGCTAATCGATATCTAAGTACATTCAAAGCTTTCAAGTGATCTATAATATTGTGCGAAATCGTATACCGAATGGAAACAAACACCTAGATAGATACACACATACCTAGGAAGTAGAGAGCTAAAACCACCCATTTGTAGGTATCAGAAATCAGGAATTCGGGCAAAGCGATACCATACTCAGTGGAACGCTTGCCATCAGGATGTCCAAACTTCTCCCAGTTCTCGCGCACAGCATCGTCAGTAAGAGTCTGGGCGTAGAGATCGAGTACATTCGTAACTAGAATATACATATACATATACATATACAGTGTATATGTGTGTGTGTGTGTGTGTGTGTGTGTGTGTGTGTGTGTATGTGTATGTGTATGTGTGCGTGTGTGTGTGTGTGTGTGTGTGTGTGCGTGTGTGTGTGTGTGTGTGTGTGTGTGTTTGTGTGTGTGTGTGTGTGTTTGTTTGTGTTTGTGTGTGTGTGTTTGTTTGTGTTTGTGTTTGTGTGTGTGTGTTTGTTTGTGTTTGTGTGTGTGTGTTTTTGTGAGTGTGTGAGTGTGTGTATGTGTATGTGTATGTGTGCGTGTGTCTGTGTGTGTGTGTGTGTGTGTGTGTGTGTGTGTGACGAAATTACTATTCATATATCTATCTACTTATCTGTGTACATACACACATATCGAAATATGCAATACCTGATGAGCTTTGACAATTTCCATATAGAGTTCGTGAATAGTCTCATTTTCGGGGTTCTTATCCGGATGGTTCACCAGCGACAGTTTACGATAGGCACTCTTGATCTCCTTCGGCGTGGCACCTGATCACGCGCATGCAGACAGATACGATCGCATTAGTCATGCTTAGACTGAAAATGAGGGACGGGATGGGATCAAATGCAACGTAGCAACGCCAATATCTACATCGAGGTGATACTATCTGCTGGTGCAGGACCCCCGTGTGAGAGGTGATTTAACACTTTCTACTAAAACTTGACCTTGGCCGTGGTGAGCCACCACTCCTGTCAAGTGCAATCTGCTGGGCCATAGTACTGATTAGACAGGTATCCTGTGCTGAGGTAGGATCTCAATTGCATACCCAAACGACTACCCATACAAGACAGGCCTACGCAATTAAAATCTCATACACACGCCAAACCTTCATATAAGCTCCTTCTCCAAACCTCATCGCAAACGACCGATACAGTCGCTACCTGCGCCAGCACAGTAAGTATGTCGTGAATGGTACCGAAATACATTCACACTTTCGCACGCATGTAGCATTTAGCACTCCTACAAGCATATGAAGAAGAAAAAAGAAACATACATACATAAATACACACACCTTCATCAAGACCAAGAATCTCATAGGGGTTCCAGACCTCCTGGACGGTAGCCGTGATACCAGACGCCTTCCACAACAACACAATGGTTGCCAACCACGCCACGCCAAACAGCACATCATGGATGCTCCACTTGCGCTCTTTACTCTCTATCACTTTGCACTTCTTCTTCTGTGTGAATTCATAGAAGGGTGACCCATCACGCGCGGGCCCTGGTATATAAATAGAACAGAGTAAACTGAGTTAAAGCCATGTACGGTATATGCCGGCTTGAGCAGTCTATAGTGACTGTGAAATCAGCTGCCTTCGGCTTCGTGTGCGACAGGGGAATAAGAGAACAGGCAATTGACACACGTTCATGTCATACTCCAGCACAGGCGTACACCAGAATTGTAGTGGGATGAATATCGGCTGATGAATATGCAGAGACAACGTGCTGCGAGTACAACATCCCGTACAACAGATCTTGACATTCAACAAGGACAGATGATTTGCTGGGCCACACAACCCGAGTCGAGCAAATGATTAATATAATTAAGCAACCCACGGGAAGCAACACTGAGAGGTTTGAAGAGTGATTCAGATCACAGTAAACCCCCCGACTATGTATACACACACAACCAGTAACCAATGTGAATATGACGTGTGACGTGTGACAACAGCTATTCTATGAATAGCTCAAAAGTATTGGAATACATTGTACCTTGAGGTAGAGCACATGAAACGGTCACCAATACGGTATAGTGGCATTCAAACTTGCTAAGAAAAAGCGTCTCGTACAACAGCTAATACGGTACATCTATCCTTACATTCGTATAAAATATATAAATATACATA